GGGGAGGGGGGGGGGGAGAGGAAGGAGAGGGAGGGGAAGGGAGGGAGAGGAAGAGGAAAGGGGGGGGGGGGGGAGGGGGAGGGGGAGGGGAGAAGGGGGGAGAGGGGAGAGGGAGGGGGGGAGGGAAGGGAGAGGGCCGCAAATTAGAGCGGACCGGGGGGGGGGGGGGGGCGATGGAGAGTGGTGGAAGGGGCGCGGGCATCGCGGGGAAGGGGGGACGGGCGTGGGCAGAACAGCACCGCATTGGCCGACATCCCGCAGCGAGGAAGTTGGCGTCACGAAGACGGGCGGAATCGACGGGGGAAGGACGGAGGGACTCGGGGCTGCCGAAGAGCCAAGGCGGCTGCGGCCCCGATGCGACCTGCAGGCGAAGTCAGAAGGGGGGGGAGAAATAGGCGCGGTTTCATCGCGAGGGCTGGCTTGGCAAGTGCGAGAAGTGAGGGCGGGCAGCGTGGTTGAAGGCCAGGATCGAGCCGCGCACCGAGCAGGATCTCGTCCGGGGCGAAGCGGCTGCCCAGCGCTATGCCAGCGCGTTCGCTCCTTGCTGCTGCCGCAGAGCGGAGGCGCGTACGTCGCCTCGCTACTCTCGCGGCGAAGCAGCTGCCGCCGCCGAGACGCGAAGCGGCGTCTGCTGAGGACAGAGAGCCAGCGCGGCGGTCGCCGACGCCTTCGAGCTGTGTGCCACCTCTCGCCGGCACGACAGCTCTGCGCGGCAGGAGCATCAGCAGCAGCCGCCGCACCGCCACCCGCCTCGCGCCTGTCGCGGCGAGTCGCGCCTGTCGCACGCCGTGGCACCGAGGGCCGGAGCCCGACTCTCGTACAATCGAGCGGCTCCGAGACGAAGCGCTGACGTCCGGGGCGAAGCGGCACCTGCAGGGAAGTTTCCGGGAAGTCTGGGCAGGCCACGGTGTTCACAGAGAGCGTGCGCGAGCTGCGCGCCTGCTCGAGGCCAGGTCACTGTCGGCTCGCCCCGGGATCTCCACCCCTACGAGCCTCATGAGCAGCGCGGGGTTGCCCGAGCACTCAAGGCACAAGGGATGGGATGTAAGAGCGGGCAGAGGCCTGCGTCATGACGATCAAGGGGAGGATGTTGACGACGGTGAAGAAGCAGATGGCGACGGTGTTGATGAGGATGTTGACGAGGACGGTGACGAGGATGGTGACGAGGATGGTGATGAGGATGGTGATGAGGATGGTGATGAGGATGGTGATCGAAAATTGCGGGTGGCGCAAAGACGTCGACTCGCCGCGTATATGCTCATGCGAAGCAGGCGTGCGCAAGGCCGGCGATGTAGCCGACGGTGGAGACCGCCCAAGTACGCTTGCCAAAGGTGCCGCCGCCGACGGACCGTGTGATTTGGGCGTGTTTTTTGGGCGGGGCTGTGTCGACGGTGCTGCGTCTGTTTGGGACTAGCTTGGGATGGCTGGCGGCGGGCCTCTGGTTGACTTGACGGACACCTGCGAGGGCCGGGTGCGGGTGACGAAGCGCCGAATGCCGGCGGCGAGCGCGAGGGGCGCACCTCGGCGTCAACCTCGGCCACGAGGGGGTTGTTGGCCGAGGTGTGCCAAGAAGGCGATTCCGCCGAGCACGGAGGCACGCACACCGGAATTCTTTCTAGCACGCGCCAGTTCGCACCTGTGTCGAGCCTGTGTGCTGTGAGAGAGAGTTCTTTTGTTTAAATTCTTTTTTGAGAAAGAACCGCCTCCTAATCCTAACGGTGTGGGGGCGCGGATGGGCCAAAATGGTGGCGTCCGAGACGCTGCGCTAGGCTCAGAGCGAGTTCGCGCTGCGCTAGGCCCACAGACGACACTCAAGTAATCTAGATACTCGCTCGCTCCCTTTTGTGTCCCACCATGCAGAGCACATCTCTCTCTCTGTTGTGCGAGGCGTGAACCGCGCCATTCGCTCCCACCTGGCAACCCTGTCTGCACGTCTCGCGCGCGCGTGAACAGGGCGGTGTGATGAAGTGAATGAAGTCAAGCTCTGGACGCCCCTCCCTTCTCAAGACCTCCTCGACGGGCGTTGGCAGCGCCTCAAGCGGCGGCACGCCCGCCTCCGTTGGCCACTCCTACGCCTTCGGCAGCACCGAGGAGAAGGCCCGCCGCCTGAACATGGGCTGCAAGGCGCGCGGGCAGCCCGGCCAACCCTTCTCCCACAAGAACGGCCACGGCTACGTCAAGGCGCATCGCGGTTTCTACCACGACGCGATCTTTGTCAAGCGCAACAACTTCAACCTGCTGGCATTTCGCGCGAGTGAACAGCAGCTCCTGAGCACAGCGCCGCAGGCGCCTGTTGTGTGTTGATGCCAGGGTCCAGGTGATAGCCCTGGATGGGCAATCCATACGCCCAATTGGACCTCAGATCGCCCGACCCGCGACCGCGTCCCGGTGCTCTGCCTTCTCGGATTTGTGACGCCGCCGCACCGCGCCGCGGCTGGGGGCCCTCCGGAGGCCGAGGATGGCCGTGGCGGACCGGGACGATCTCTGGGAGGTAAAGCATCAGTGTATATATTGTAGAGACAGACCATGTGCACAATCTCTCTCGCAATCTAGCTAAGCCAGGGGAGGCGATGCCGGGGCCGTACAGCAGCTTGATGGTGTTTCGCCGGCGTGCGTCCCGGAGCGGTGCCGGACGGGCGGTCCGGGGGACAAAATCGCGGGACAGCGCTGACACCGCTCTGATTCGACTTTTTACTTCAAACAAAGACAGTGGCACGCGCCGCAGCGCGGTGCATGCCACTGCCAGGACCAGATACGTCAGTTAGTTGATTGATTGATATAGGAAAAGGCGAAACACAGTCCGACCAACGACTGGGACACCAACGCGGTATGGGTGGACGCAAGACGGGCGATGACGGTCACACCCTTTGGGCCGGCTACCATACCGTGCCCCGCAAAAAGTTGGAACCCAGCTGCAAAAATCGTCGCAAGCCATTCTACACGCCCACCATGCTGCTTCTCACGACATGCTTGACTTTCGTTGACACATTTACCGTCGGACTTGTCAATCCCGTCTACCCGCAGCTCGTACAGAGCAAAGTCATCGGCGCCACCTCTTACGCCATGATTATGAGCGCGGCGAATGCTGCAGCACTCGCCGGATCCACGCTCTTCGGCCGGCTCTCCGATCTTCACGGCCGGCGCGTGGCAATCATTGCGAGCACGTGCACCGCCTCGCTCGGTTACCTGTGCTACTTTGTCGGCTTCGCATGCGAAGGCCACTCCGATGTTCTGCGCCTCGCACTGCCCGCCGCTGGCCGCGTCGTCGGCGGGATGGGCCGTGCCGCCCTCCCAGCGCCTCTGCTCGCGCTCCTCGC